ATGAATGTTAGCAATTTTCACCAGACAGACTTACTTACCTTTCCTTATTTATGTATGTATTCTGAGCTGTGTGTCCCTCTTCAATGCGGATTATGCAAGAAATTTTCCAAATACACAAATCTCATCAAATGCAAAGACCCAGATTCACTATCCTCCCGCTCCGCCAACTGGCTAGTCGTTATCCAAGTTGGCCTACCTGTATATGCTGCTCGTGTCCCCGCCCGCCGTCTATTCAAAGGTTACGTTGGCTATTTGTCTTTCGGACATTCTATGTGCTGCTGGCCCGTTAGGTAACTAGTACATGCATACATCTATGAAAATCGTTTAGTTGGCTACAATAAATCTGGACTGGTAACATACTTACATACATGTGCACATATATCTAGGTACATATGAATATATTCGGTATGTCCATGCACATATGTACATAGACATATATCTTTCTGCATATAGTCGTGGTAGCTTTTTTCGTTGTCGACCTAAGTGGTGCAGAAATTAAATTAAAAAGGAATTCAAAGCGTTTTCCTCTCATTTATGCATGCTGTGCTTGAATGTTGGTATTTATTTTTGCATATTTACATTCGATTTAAATTTTTCAGCTTTATTTTGCATTTACTTTGATTTCCACTTGTGCCCCTCTGCTCCAATGAGACAAACTCAGCGGCATACCGGAACATATGCAAACACGTGTATCCTCATAATGTTTGTTTATCTTCATTTTCTGGGAATTGACAGCGGAAAGCTTTCCAACTGTGCATAAGCATGTGGGTGGTGTACCGAAATCAAAGTTCCAATTGAAATGAGGAAATTAGATTGGCAAATAATTTAATTTTATGTCAGTAGGTATGAGTCAACGTTTCGCGGAGAATCGTATGTGTATATAAATGGATGTATATGTATGTTCGCAGGAAATGCAGACATTTTCAAGGCTACTACCTACGGCATGGGTGGTTTGCTCTTTTAGCCATTTCAAAGAGCCAATATTTAAGTATACAAGTTAGGTTAGTTAGAAATGGCAGATCCCTACATACACATAAGCCAAGATAGATCTGTAGGGATACTATGCTCAGAAATAAACCACTTCTTAAAGGAAAATATGATCTTTGTTAATGCAAAGGTCCTGAATGCAATGAATGATCACCTCTTTAAGGCCTACAGGCAAGCTTGTTGCATTAGGCAGGCAAAGAGAAGGTCTGAGCCCTCTTAATACTTAGTTCGACACTATTAGGAAATGGGTCAGATAACTTTTTAAACTTGCGAGATGTGGGCAGTCCGTAGAATGGTGGAAAGGGTATATATATCTTCTTAAAGTTAAGAAGAAAGCTTTAAGCAGAGAAAAAGTAAGCTCATGACTGGGTTAACTGCAGTGGAATCGAGTGCTTCAGCAAGATGACTACGCTAAGTAAGGTTCTGTTCATTGGCTCTATAGAACAGAGACTCACTGCGACTGGGACGGTACGACGGCGTATGGACTTAAAAGGTAGAGGTTGGCACACACAATCTAAGGACTACAGATCCATTAACCTAACATCGTTTCTACAAAATACCTGGGAGAGGTTGATAGACATATGTATACGGAGGAACTGCTTTCAAAAACGCAACATGCATCCACGAATGAAAGAAAAGTAAATAGCGCTCCTACTTAAAGGTTCTCAGAAAAATTAAAATCGTACTATTTTGAAATGAAAAAGGCATTTTACGAAATTTTTTTTTTTTTTTGTGGCATCAGTAAGTTGTAAAGTCGTACATATGTAAGAATGCAATAGTTTAAACTCTACTATCATAAAAATTTCTCCAGCCTCTTCTAGATTTGTTTCAATTTCGACTCCATCTAAGAGTTCTTTCGTGTTGTTACAAGTTTAAGTGGGTAACCTTTTGGAGGGCGCATATTGGGTACTGTACTCTTTTTGTGTAAATTCCAGGAGGAGGCAAATTCCTCTAACCGGTGTACATTTCAGGGTATTTACTTACTTAACGTCTACGGATTCTGATGAAAGAAGAAGACTAAGGATAACGCCCTATGTCAGCTTATTTCCAATGTATTTTCGTTTGAGGTAGGGCATTTCTGAGCAATGTGGGTGTTTTTCTATAAAACTCTGAAATAGGGCGTTCTTGAAAAGTTTTTTGAAATGGGACGCTTTTGAATTGGCTGCCGAGATAGGTCGATTTTTCACTTATCCATCGATATGTAAATAAGCCTTTTATTTTCAAAGTGGCTAAGTCAATTTCTGATATTTGACTTCAGTAGTCATTTACCTGTATCGGAACGCGTCTGTTAGTCGTTGAAGTTCATCAGCAAAAGGTAAAAAGTTTGGTCATTAGTTTATAATGGTAGAACGATTTACAGATGCGCTCAGTTAGAAGTAACCACCACGTACGGCTCTATTCTGTATATGTGACAAATTCTTTTTTTTTTTTACGTAAAAATACATATATGAGAAAGTTTAAATTTGTCAGTTACAAAATTTTTGTCACCGATACATTATGAAATGACTTAAGCCACTTTCAAAATGAGCGGCTTATATGGATGTGTTGTATTACTTTTTACGTCGGGCAATGGAAAATATTGAGTAACCTATTGCAAAATTAAATCAATACTGTTCTATTAGATCCTTATATGTATTTGCAAATGGTCCAATCAATGTCAAATATACCAAGGGTTGGAATTGACCATTTCCTTACTTCTCTTTTTTTGCTATAATGAAGTTTTGCCATAAAAAACATAAAATTCCTTCGAAAATTTAAAACTTCACAGTTTCCTAGATTTTGCAAGTTTATTTTTTGAATATCTCTGGTCTTGTTTTAAAGGTAAATATAAAAAATTTACAAATCCGTACAAATGTACCAATCGTGTGACACGACTTTAAGAAAAAAAATTTTATTTTTTAAGACACCTTGAAAATTTCAAGATCTTAGGTAAACAAAATTTTAGCCAGGAATTTGTATAAGCTTTTGCTTTTACGATTTTTCTAATTTCCAAATAACTCTGTTAATACCGAGAATTGTGAAATTTAGAATTTGCATAACTTCCAAAAAAAAAATTATATTTTTTTCCTTTCGCCGAACGTCATTTTATATGGATTCAGCGAGCAAAAAATTGATTTGTTCCATTTATTTCAAACTTTGAAATCATATTTTACGTGGAATGCCATGCGACCTGTGTTTTTTCTTTTTTCCGAAAAACGGTATCAAGAATTAGGTCGTAAAAGCGATATTTAAATAATTAAAAAGGCTATTTTGAGCCAAAATATCGTTTGGAGATAATTTTTTTTTTTTTTTAATTTTGGGAATTACTTCAGCTTTCACGTGTCTTTTATATAGCTCAAATAGCGTAAATAGTAAAAACTGAAAAAAAGTGTTGTTTTTCAAGTGTTTCTGTCTACCAAACCGCAAAGTGCTATCTTCATTATAAGAACTTAATTATAAATATGATAAAAGTAAAGTTCTATTATGGCTTAAATTGTGAAGAAATAGTAGCCATTGAACTTGAACGCGATATCTATATATGTATGATAAAATAAGCCCTAACCGCCAAAAGGATGTGAGCGAAATTTTTTTCAAAAATTTTCTTTTGGATGCAGAAATATTCCTAGAACATCTACATGCATTTTTGCATCAAAATTAAAATTAAAAATATATATATATGTAATATAATACGCGTGCGTCTGTCGTATACCATTGTAATTATATGTATTGCTGGCTATTGACTTATTTAGATCATTTATATAATACATACAAATGGTTATTTACAAAAAACACTTAAAGTCTATAGGCTTTAAGTAATTTGGTGTTAAATTATTTTCTTATAAATCTTTTTTTTCTTCCTCTTTCAGGACATTGAGCATTGCTACTATCATGGCACTGTGAAAGACTATCCTGGTGCTAGCGCCGCCTTCCATACATGCAATGGTGTCAGCGGCGTCATACACATCGGCAACGAAACGTTCGTTATACATCCCTTCTATGGAGGCGATCTTTCGGTACGTAATCGAGACCAATTAACGACAATGAGTGTATTGAATTTATGCATTTTGAACTTTACCGAACCCGAATTTCTCAGCATTTTTATTTTCTTTTTACTTTATTTAAATTTGGTTTTTATTTTCCATATTCTTTATTCCATATTTACATGCATTAACAAAATCTACAGATAAAGTCTAGCCAAGCGCTGTGGAAAATTCCCTTCAACTTCATACTTTAAATTTCGTAACGCCTGCAAATCCCTTACGGATTCACATGTATTTTCGCTGAATCGCAAATGTTTTACAGCTTCACTTTATCCATTTTTTATTACATTTTTTCGCCTTCCTTTTCTTTATGCTCTTGTGGTAGAGCCACATTTTTACGCTCAAGCGCTGAAAATCGGCCTGAGTTTTGATTTATATCTGCGCCTATGCGAACTCGGTATGCAAATACTATTCGCACATACCACACACACACACACACACACACACGGGTATTTACTGCCGGTACAGCCATTTATCGCCCTTTGCACACCAACATTTTTACACGCCGATCTGCTTTTCAATTGTGAACTTTAAATAAAATCCGCATTCATATTCACAGTAAGTTTTATGCATGTAGTTGTTGTTAGGAAGCAGACTTTGATACGCTTGATTTCAATTGCAATCATCGGCTGCAGTGAGAGAATTTTTTATTTTTTTGGCTGACTACACGTATCACTTGCCTGTGACAATGCGGCGAGATTGGAAGAGACCTAAGAGTATTTTCAAGGTGAATTTATACAAGGTGGTGTTACTGGCGAATTTAGATTTTCGGCGCGGTCCTTCTCTATGTCAAAATGATTAGTTTGTTGTAAACAAGGCGAATTCATATTACAACAAACACATCATTTTGACATTAAAAAGTACCGCGGCGAAAATCTAAATTCGCCAGTAACACCACCTTGTATAAAATCGCCTTGAGTCTTTTATTTCGGATTCATGAAATTCGTTTACAAATAATTTTCCTTGTATTTTTAAAATTCTTTTTCTCACGTCCATATCTATTTTAGAATGGTAATGATGTGCATATTTACATACATATGCCATTGGTTATTACTTTGGGTTGAGAAACAACCTGCACGGTGAAGCATCAAGGTCTTCATGGCTTTATTGAAAACGAAGTGAGGAACCTTTGGTGTTAAATAAATCCACAGAGAAAGTACTCCAACAATGGCGTATACCAAAATCTGCTCCCAGCAGAATTTGTAGGGATGAGGACGCGAAGAAATCAGTTCAAATATATTGGAAAATAATTCTTCTTCTTTATAGGCGCTGTAACCGCATAAGCGATTTTGGCCGAGTCCAAAACAGCACGCTATTCATTTCTTTTCTGTACCAACTAATGCCAATTGAAATTCCCAAGGAAAGAAAACATTACCTAAAAAATATGGAAAAGCCTTAGTACTGAAAATGTTAACAAGGAGATCCAAGGCACTTGCCATACGTGTGAGATGTGAAGAAGTTCTTTGAAGCATTTTATATAGACTCTTGTGTTTTCTTGCATTGGCTTCTGCAGGAGTATTGAAATGGCTGAAGAGCGTGAATCCATAGGGCACTCAAAGCAGATACTGTACTATTTTGGCCACCGGCAGCACGTCAACCTAACCTAAATTACCAATATACAGTTATACATAGTAGCTCATTTTAAAAATACATACCTACATAACCATCAATTCTTTATCGTTTCAATGAACAAGTGCTCAAAATTTACAGTGTAGAAATTTACGACTTTCAGCCACTTCTCAGAGGAATTATGCCTTACAGACACTCATAACGATTTTTGCCACATTTTTTTCTTTGCCACATTTCTTCACCACTCTTTGTCCTTTAAACCATATTTTTCAATACTAATGTATGGCTACACTAACGGTAGCTGAGAATTTTTATGTGCGCGACACTAATAAATAAAAGTTGCTGAGAAAAAGAAAATCTCAAATATTCGCACAAACAATCACAGACCAAATCGAAACGAAAAAAAAGTCAAAAAACACTTAGAATTTAGCATTGGTAGCCAAAAAATTTGCTTCTGTGTTACAGCCACTCGCTGCTTTGGTGCTTCTATTCCCCTCCATGCGATTGCTGAAGCGAAAAAGCGAAGGAAATATTCAACACCAGCAGTTCGGTTCAGCAACGTTTACTTGCCACTTTAGTGCTGCAGAAAACCAGGCCAGTATGGCTGCAAAAATGTGGCAGGCCACTTAAAAAAAAAAATTGCAAAAAAAAACAATACAAATATTACAAAATCAACGCAGCAAAATAAAGTGAATGTGAAAAGTTATGACTCCTTGATGCCATAATTCATACGAATTCGAATTCGGAATGCTTTTGCACAAACACGCACACACACAGCCGTGCAGGGGTCTGGAAGCAGAAACTGCTTAGAATCAGCTAAGCATTGAGTGTGCACACCTTTATAAGGCGCTGAAAATTGAAATTACATGTTTACATACTCATCTACAAATGTACATTAGGGCGGGTCATTTCGTATGGGAGATTTTTTCGACTATGCGCGTATAGCACAGAAGGATTCTACGTGTAATTTTAAGCAAATTTTCCAAAGGAACCATGGGTCTAAGATCAATTTGGAGTTTGCCAAATTGCGAAAATAGCCTTCTTAGCATTTTGCAGTAGTGTCGTAATGAAGTGCTTAAATTTTGTATAACAACATGCTGTAAAGGGTTGTTTGGTATGAGGGTGTAACAGCGAAAATGTTCATATTTTCTTTAAAACATTTTTTTCGCAATTTGGCAAACTGCAAATTGATTTTAAACCCATGGTTTATTCAACAGATTTGCCTAGAACCGCACCTAGAATCTTTCTATGTCATATGCGCGTAGTAAAAAAAGTGTACCCACCCTAATGTACCATACATATGTTTGTATGTGTATAGATATGGAACTATGTCCCTGCAAAAAACTTTGGACCATGTGGCCCATTTGTGCCATATTGGAGTACTTACAAAATGCTCCTCTGTAATGTAGTAGCGGACCAACTCGTGTCTCTGCACCAGCTGATTGTTACCCGATCATTGCTCGTGTTTTAACTAACGCAATTAGGTACTCCACGATGTTTATTGGGCTGTGTTGCCGAGAGATAGATAATCCATGGACTAATCCCTTGAAGTGGTTTTGTGCTACCTACCCTGATGCAATGCAGACATTGAGTATGTATATGGTTTTGCCCTAGGACATTGCAATGTTTATTGGACCACATTTTTTATACCTATGCATTTCGGTTAATTTTGCACTACTCCTTGACTCTTAGGCAGTACTCTTTAAATGCGGGCATGGTGTAGTCACGATTTTTGCTGGGGTAGTGTTGAAGTTATACCAAAGTGGTATTATTGTGGCAGCTATTCGAGTCGTATTTGAAATTTATGACACATTCATATTGATTTTCAACAGAGCGCACAGTGTAGCAGCGAATGATTGTACATATTTGAATACATGTGTTGTTTGTTTGTGCGCTTTAGTCGGCTGCTCCTGGGCTGGCATCAGCTTATGAATGGCAGCTCGTGCAAATTTCAGATGGGGTCTGTAAATGAGGGGTTGCGGTCGATGTGATGATTGTGGCGGCGGCTGCTGGCTTAGAGAGAACATATGTATGTACGTGCTCATAAGGGGTGCTGGTGTTTCTCATATTTTTGTAATTTGCTTTTTCGAGTAAATATGTGTAAAATGTGTAACTTTCCCTATCTCCTTTTTTCTTGCAAATCTGACCTTTTTACATTCTACCCATTTTTATAAATTTTTAAGCTCTAAATACTGCATACCCAGGTGAATTTTATTTTTATTGCTATTTTTCTTTCTTTTTGTGCTCACACCAGGACCGGATGTCCTTCATTCCTTCCTTCAATACGTTTCTCTTTTATCAGCCGATTTCTCTTATGGTGGTTGTTTGTAGCTTTTTTTTGAATGCACAATTTTGTGTAGGAATTTTGGTTTGTGAAAATTGTTTATCTCTCAAGACAGCCGCTTAAAATTTGTCGCACATTCATGCGATCTGTTCCAAAAGGATTGAGATAAAATATATGTAGTTGGTTATTTATAAGTTAAATAAGGATTCAGAAAACGACAAGACATAAAAAGGCTTAACATTGGTTTTCAATGGTAAAATAAACCAGCCATAATCGATTTCATTCGTGACCTGCATAAACTGAAGTCAAATTTAAGGACTCCTCGTAGTATCATTTTAAAATGTTACTTTCTTCTGAAATGTAATGGAATGTCCCTAGAGTGTACCATATTATTGCTTTCTAGGGTACATAAATAAATAATATCAAAAATTTATAATCCAAAGCTGGGAGGCATTGTTGTGTTCCTTGCCTTACCGAGAACCATGAATACAACTATTTACTGCGAACCATTAGTAGGCGTATTGGCAGCGCGAGGTACTCTGGCACGGTGTTGCCACATGAAAAATATGTTTTTTTCCACCAACATGCAAACACAAAATATATATTAAAATTCAATCAAAAGTTCAAAACCACTCCAAAAGACCAACTTTCAAAGAAAATTCACTATATTTTGAAATCTTACCCCAAGAAAGGCAAGGTTTAAAAAATATCCTGTCTTTTATTTAACAGAAAGAGCCTTTTATTGTCAGTTCAATCAATCGCGATGAAAACAGATGAGACTTCACAAATGGACTAGTTATTATCCCAATTCTTAATCATCTTGGAAGTTTTCTCTCAGCGGGTTTAAATTATTCCGAGAGTAAATCCTCACAAGCTCTCCAGGAGAGGATTTAGAATCAGCTTTTTCCGACATACATTTTTAGGCATTGGGTTATAATGTGCCCGGTGTGATTCCACCATCGCCTCTACTGTGAAGATTTATGATTGCGGAAGTCGCACGGAATTAAGTTTTCTTGTCTAAAACCTTATTTAGTTTTGAAAAGAGCCGAGAAGGGCTAAAGTTTTTAATAAACATCAGTCTACATAACCGTAAGTGTTTAGACTTGGCATTGTAGAAGCAGCTTCTCTTCCTGCTCAGTTTATATCCGTCAGTTCCTGCGGCTTTGTTATTATCAAGCAGTGCTCTCACCTCAACTTGGTCGAATGGAAAAACATGAGCATCGTCCCTTTGCATTGATCTGGGGTCTTCTCCATAATACGCGCTATTGGTGTAGCGAGTGTTGTTGAGCAATGATTCCTGACTGCTAGCATCTTTATCGTTTTTTTTTTTTTTTAATAAAC